TAAAGTTGTTTTTAATTGAATAGCACAGTTATCACGGAATGAGATCGGAATGTCAGTATCGTACGTACGTCGTGGCGTTAGGCGGCTATAAGATGATGCCCTACACGGCAACTCGCGATGAGGGCATGTTGACACAAACTCAAGTGGCGCCGCCACGGACGTGGGAACTTACTTTACAACCCGACAACTATCTTCCTATGTTTATAGCTGAAAGGGATATTTATATCTCGTAAAACATAGGTGAAAACATTAAAGATTCTTTCGGCTAATATCTTCCACGATTACGGGGCTAAACCTCGATTAAAACATACAGTAATAAGACATGTTAGACTTATGGCACGTATTAACATCGTTGAGTAATAACTAATACTGTATTTATTCAAGGCTCTTGTGCGTATCGACACTTTAATCTAAATAAAATAATTTGTAGTGAATATAATGATTTATAGACTGTCGGAGTGATTAATTATAATTCTGACATAATTAAATTTTAATCCATGAATAGAATAAATTAATTTAATTAGATGATAGTTAATTATTATGCGAAATGAATATAGCGTGGGCTATGCGAAGAACGTGGACGACCCGGCACAAGATCACGAAATGCGTCTATTCCGACAAATTACAAGGCGCAACTGACAGTTTCTACACGCTTCTCGCTGAAATCACATAATTACTCCGCTAAAGTCCTTCCAAACGATAGTGCACTCGTTGGCCTTAAATCCGAGCAAACTTATAACTAATGACTCCGGAAGTTTTCCACCTAATAACAAAAAATTTTAAAACACAGGCACGCCACTGCTTCCGCATTCTTTTTTCTCCGTAACAGAATGGTAAGCCTGCTGTAAAAATTAAACTTTAGTGATAACGTGTCACAACAAACAAGAGTTTTCACACAATAAAGTAAAATGTACCTACGTTGTATAATAATAACAAAAGTGACATACATACTACGTTCATGTGCCCAACAAGGTGTGTCATTCGTAGATAAGAGTTTCATTACTTTATGTAAAGCTATTCAACGGAATGCGAAATATTTTTAATACACACAGAAAGCGGCATAGTGCCATTTTTTTTCATAATTCTAGCGTACTCGAAGCTTTGAAAGCTCGACCGGTATGTAATAAATGGCGGCGCCACCAGTCCTTCAGAGAACAAGTTGTAACATATACTTATAGCTTATAATGCGTTAACGATAAAAGCAGATTGTTTTTTTATTTCTGTCTAGTTATTATTATTGTTATTTACCAACACTGGATGTATATGCACATAATTAATATTTTATGATTGTTAAGCATATAATTTTTGTTTCGTTTAACATTCAAGCGCTGTTGCTGAGTATATGTACAAACAATACCATATACCATATACGACACTGAATTTTCTGTTTAATTAACTGATATGTATGGGTTTATAATTCTGGAGTTTCCAAATTAGATCGTATTCTGATAATACTTGTCAATCGATTTAGCAATTAATTCTTCTTACTCAGTATCAGTTTAATGGATTGCAACTTTTTACAAATGTCACTACCTTTGATGAAGTCATCAGTGTGTCTTTGTACGTAACATACACACTGTAAAATGTAAATACCATACACCGTCAAAATGTTATTGTTAATAAAATACTACCTTCTTAACTTCGTAAGATACGTCTGCTTGAATTAAATATATTTCCAAAAGCGCGTTTTTGTGGAATAAATATGTGCTGCACATCTTACGATTCCATAGTTGATGAGTTAAAATAACCTAATAAAATAAGACTTTTATCCTGACGATACTTTTTAATCGATATAAACAAAAGCTGATTCCGGCTAGTTTCTTCGCAATGAAATTAATATGGAATTCCCAGCTTAGATGCACATCCATGAAAGTTTTGTGATTTTGGTAAGGGTAAGAATTTTTTCATCATTTTTAACCAGAATATTAAAGTTAGGTTTATGATAATTGTTTGAACACTGAATTAATTTTATTTTGACTATCATGTTTAATACTAGCCCAGTCACAATAGACTTATATCCTTTATACATACAGTGGTTTTTAGGCTGAATTCCTGGATATTGAACCTAAAACTACTGCTGACGTGTCATCAGCATACAAAGTTACTTTAGAATTAATTGGTTGGTTTATATCGTTTAAAAATAATATAAATAGTCTGGGCATTAAGGTATTTCCTTGGGGAACACCGGCATTTGCAGTGAATTCATCAGAAACAAAAGAACCACTCTCTATATCAATTCTATGATTACGTAAATTAAGTATTATTTATCCATTTGAATGCAATTCCTCGGATACCGTAATTAGCGGTAAAATAGTTTATTGAATAACAGCTGCTAATATATTGTGTCAAATGCTTTACTGAGCTCAAAGAAAGCTCATATACTTTCACATTTTTGATTAGTATTTTCAACGACAATAGTCGATTTTAGTGATATTGGTCTAAAATTTACGGTACGATAATAATTAATGTAAATAATTGACCATAATAAAACTACTCAGTTTGTCCGTGACCTCTATAAGCCGCTACTTTATCTTTGATTCTTATGGAGGCCCAGACTTTAAGGGTTTGGAATATACATTGACAAATATCTATATAAAACCATATTTCTCAACTCAACGGCCATTGTTTCCATCAACTTGAAGTAATGGCAGTGAACAACTTATTTCCTCCTTTCATTGTGTCGACTGTTTAAACAATCGATCTGAGAATGATTCGAAAGAACTAAAATATTTTTTAAAGATGTTGTCAAGATACCGGAAGAACATTCTTGGCAGTCACGTAGCAATTTCAGCAAAGTTATCTTTCTAATAAAATTGAAAATATGAAGATGAAAATTAAAAGAAAAATTTAAGAACTTTCGTCAACAGTTCTTTTTTCCGTTGATTACCAAGTGAATTGGAAAAAAATTCGCATGACTCATTATAAATATGATTTATATTGAGACCGAGCTTCAACATCAACTATAAGAAAAACATCCACAAAAATTCTTGAATTTATTATTACAGATGCAGAAAATTTGAAATTACCTCAACATGTAGCTGTAACTGTACTTTAGTATGCTTTGTATTGTAGATTGCCAGACCAGGCGCGGATACAGGAGTTCGTTTAGGGGGGGCAATTTTTGTGCGATTTTACCGATCTCCCAGAAATTCGTTCTAAACAAAAAAAAATATAAAATTTTAGCTAGTATACTCTTTTTCACATAACATGGGTGACATTTGGTTGTTTTCGTTACATGTATAGTGTACAGTAAAACCTCGATAATCCTAATTAATTGGGAAAAAGGTGTGTTCGGATTAACGATTTGTTCGGATCAGCGATTTTCCCAAAAATCTGAAAGGGAATTGAATAACAACTTCGTATACAACTGAAAACAAACTTCAAGAAATAAACCTAAATTTTATTAAACAAAATTAAAGAATTCTTAAGCAACAATGGGTAATAATAGATACATTCCAAAAAATATTACTCCGTGACCATAACACGCTATCTTTTTGGAATCAACACCCCGGGATCTATACCCTGAATTTTTTCAAAATTTTTAAATGAATTTTTCAAAAATGAAATTTTCCATTATGTATTCGTATTACCTCCATTATGCAAATTTCGACCCATTATCGACGATTTTCGAAATTTAACTAAGTATATTTTCTTTAGATTTTGGGCCTCAGAAGTCACTTCTGGCTTCATTTCTTCGATAACTTAAACCATTTTTCCAGAATAGTCCAGTTGAAATATCGCAATTTTTAAAAATTTCGAAAAAGTCGAATTTCTCAGCGAATTTTCCGAAAATATTGTTCCGTTACCATAAACATGGTATATTTTTGGAATCAGCATGTCGGGATATACGAGTATATCCCTGAATTTTTTCAGAATTTTTAGGAAACTTTTTCAAAAATGGAATTTTTGTCATGCAAATTTCCACCCATTTTCGACGATTTTCGAAATTGAACCAAATACTTTCTCTTGTAGATTTCGGGTCTCATTTCTCCGATAACTTCAACCTTTTCCAGATTAGTTAATTAATTCAGTGCATTGAAATATCGCAATTTTTAAAAAATTCAAAATATTCCATACAACATGTGCAGAAAGATCTTGCGTCATTTTTGCAAGTGGATGCATGTTTACAAGTTCAGTTCGGATTGCAGAGTTTTTGTTCGGATTAAAGAGGCATCGACTTCAAATAGCCTCTGTTCGGATTACTGTATGTTCAGATAATCGTGAATTCGAATTATAGGTAGAGGTTGTACTGTATTTTATTGACAAAATGAAATGCGATTTCAAAATTTTGAAATTGGTCAAAATAAAGTACCTCAGTCGTGTGCCTGGATCCGCGCCTGTGCCAGACTATATTTACTGAAAAAAAAGTATATACAATGATACCGGCACATATACCTTGTTATAAACTTTGAATTTCGTTCTCTGCTAACTTCTTTCTTGTTATAAATGTTCGCCATAACGTCCTGTACAAATTATTTGCTGCCATAAATCTATTACATTCATGTCTATTATAGGGTCAAAGGAGAGCATGAAAACCTGCCGCCTCTCATTTTATATGGACTTTACTATATGCCCAAGGACTTACGACAAAGTACCACACGCATCTGTATAATTGGTTGCCTAAATGCTTCATAATATCTTATTAAAAAAATAAAACTAATTCATTACAATCAAAAGAAACAAATTTATTGCGGTTAAACATCGATGTAAATGTTGAAAATGTTCACCCCATTTTGTTCAAGGCACATGTTTACTGTTTTTTTAATTTCAAAAATGTCCTCGAATATCCTTTCGTCAATACTTTGTATCCATTGTTCAATTTCATATTGGAACAGAAACTCCTGACTGCGTCAAAAATGTCTGCGGATTCTTCTCAAGTTGCCTCAAACGTCAACAACTTCCTCAGATACTGTAGGTCTTCCATGAGATTTTCTTTTGTTGACACTGCCCGTTCGAACAAATCTGTGGATTACATTTCTAATGTAACGATGTTTCTTGAATTAACGAATCACGGTATTTGGGCAGAGATATTCTTGTTTACAAGCGGTTATAGAATAGACGAACTCTCCGTTGACTAGAGTGTAGCTTTCCAAGCACAAAAAGAAAATTTTCATACGCAAGCACCAAGCGTTTTGAAAACGACTGTTTTGAGCTTGGATCAAAACAATGGCTTTAAATGACAGGTTTCAAATGACATTAATGACAAGTGAAAACTGTCATAGTGAGGCATAATTTCACAGAAGCAGAATTTTTGAAATCCATGGCCAACTCCGCCTTTGGAATCATTTATAAAAACCCTGTATTTATGTCTCCATCTAGTTTTCCATTACTTTCTATAATTGGTCCTAAGTATTTTACTTTTTCAACTTGTTGGATTTGATGGTCTTTAATACCTACTTCATTCTCTAGACCTTCTGTGCCTACATACATTATTTTAGTTTTATTTATACTTATATTCATATCATATTTCTTGAGTTTCTCCTTCCAGTGTAGTAGATGGTCGGTTAAGTCTCCCTTAGAAAGTGTCGAAATAATTAAGTCTTGTGACTTCAACCTGCGATATCCTACTACCACATCTTTGACTTTCAACTTCACCGCTTTTGAAATGTCCTTCATCACTATAATGAATAGGCCCCTGTCTTACTTCCCTAGTATACGTGCTGAAATAATGTGTATCTGGACATTTTCAAATTGGAAAACTCACTAGAAATATAGGCATAGCTTCGCCCTTTACCAATATATTCATATTTTTGTGAAGGAGAAGTGCACTTCAGACCAAATATAAACAAGTTAACAGAGTGAGTTCTCGTAACATAATACTTTCAGATCATAGACAGTGGCAAAGCATGGTTGATTAAAGTATGATATGCATTTTCTTGCTTGTAGTTTTCCGATGTCTTTCTACTTATCATAATTTCAAAAAATATTTTTTCCACGTTTCTTCTATTTATGTCACATTTTTAGTAGTTTTCCATTATTATCTTTTGTTCAACAGACTTCTTGTATTTTTTTCATTTCGTTTCTCTCTCTCTTTACTGAACTTCCTTCACATCTTTCCCAGGATTTCGCCTTATATTTTTCTAGAATTTCTTTCACCTTCTTGCTTTGAATTTTATATTTTTCACAAGTCTCTGTTCTTTTGCTAATCATATCTTCTTCTTCAGATACTCTCCATTTCCGATTACACTTCTTGAACATCCCACTACTTTCTATGGTGATTGTAAAACAGATTTTCTATGCGCCTGTAGCAGTCTTTCTAGATTTGCTGTAGTGAAATCCAGTTTATATTTTCTCATGGCTTTTCTAACTTCTTCTTGGTATTATTCTAGCTTCTTCTTTTCGAATATTCTGAAAGTTCTAATACTTAAGTATTCTAACTTCACTTCTAATTCTTCTCTTTTCTCTTTCTTTGCACAGTGAAGGTATATTGAAGTAAAAATGTGACAGTTTTCAAATATATCTATTTTCGTTTGTTCGAGATCACTTCAAGTACTTACAATATTCTACCAGTCACGTGTCAATTTTCAAAACGTATATGCCTTTCACAATAAGTGGGTATATAACGAGATGCTTTACGGTAGCAAGTTTTTAAAACTTTGTACTCATGTTTTCTGAAACCATATTTTGGATTGGAGTTATTCTCGCTTCTAAACTTTCCTGATTTATTTCATTGCGACACAAAATACTCTTATCTCTCCTACTTTTTTCCGCAACAGAAATAGATGATTCTATTTGTTGTTTATGTTATTAAGTTACGTAATAATAAATCATCAAAATGATGATACATTTTTTAATTACTTCAGAAAAAACGTATGTTAGCAGAGCTTTATCTGCACTCATGATAAACTATAAACAAACTCAAAATGAGATAACTGTTATTGTGTCTTGAAAACATATTTTATGGATTTCCACGTTAGGAGAAAATTTTCTATTCACAAAGTTGTTTATATATAAAAAATTGTAAATTGTCCACTTAAAAAACAGAAATGTAAGAATTTAAAGACCGTTCAACTTTTTTTTAACAGAAGTTTCCCCAAGTGTTGAAAACTGTTGAAATTGTACTATGTACTCCCAAAATTAGGAAGAATTTAGCAAAAAAGGCAAACATTGTACAAACATTATTAAAATAAGTAAAAGAATGGGAAGCACATTTACTCCCAATTGTTTTCTGCTATCTTGTATTGCTCTTGCGTGTACTGTTTATTTTAGAATTTCTTACCTATTTAATCGATAAAATCTTTTTTATTTTTGATCAAGTACAATACAAATTCGGATAAGACGCAACACACCCAATCAAGTACTTTGCACTTCATCTAATTAAATTTCCTAGAAGGAAAAATCTGATAAATTTTTAGCTACGCCAACTGCCGCCATCAGTTCCCAAAAATAATTGAAACCCGTGTGTGTCAAAATTAATTTATCGATAAAGAGTCTGGAATTTAGAACTCAGTTAAAAACTGTGTTGACTAACATCCTTGATATGCTACATCTCTATCAAATATCAAGGCTTGAGGCACGACCCCCCACAGTCGGCATCAATCTTTTATTTCGTTTCGGCTCTTCAACCACCAATCAATGATATCTAAACGCTTCAATTATGAATAAAATGGCAACAACGGCCTTAAACTTTCCGTCTTTCGGACGAACAACAGGTTAAACAAAGACGTCAGCTCCGCTGCGTAATTGGAACCACAGGAAAGAAACCGCTTGATGTCAGACCAATTAACTTTTACCCTCAGCAGACAGGCTTTAACGATTTATGACTTTTTATAGGGTAGTTTTGTACAATTACCCTCTTTAGGAAACGTTTATGTTTTTAATGATGTACCACACAGCCGGAGTTATAATTTGACAAGGAGGAATAAGAGTGACGACCATGTTGAAGATTTATCGGTGCATTTTCGTTGTCAAAAGCCACCATTATTAAATATTTTTATAGAGTTGTAAAAGAATAAAGAACGCTCTTACGTACGCCTTCGCATCCAAAGGTAGCACAAATTGACTAAATTTACGGTCAGTTTTAGCGTTATTACTTGGTAATTTATGGCAAGTTGCGTGCAGTAAATATGAAGATGAAAATTTTCTTAAAACTGAAGAATTTAAATTAACAAAAATTAAACATGGGGAACTGAAAATTTCTCGTCGTTTTTCGGTACTTCTGAACAATCCTGCGTGTTTAGGAATGAAATTAAGCTTTACGACGGCTATAGCTAAACAAGGAAAATTTTCAGGCGGTTTCTTAAGCCTGATTCAATATAACGTCCTACAAGTTTACTACAAAACAACCGTAAATACTATTGTAATCCTTAACAAACAGCACGTAAATCATAAGATGCGCGTTCACATTCCGCGTCTCCGTCAGAAAATTTTTATTTACACCTCGTGCGTGACGTTGTAAATGAGATACACTTAAATTTTTATAGACCATTAAACTCCAACGTATTTAATAAACACTGCACCCAAATAATGGTTTCACCAGTTCTTCAAAAAATGTTCATCAGGAGATGAATGAGATTTCAGCGAAACGTTGGCAAATTGAGCTGAAAATATCAGGTGACAACCATATTCAAATTAAAACCTGCTACTTTTCGTAACGCAATAAAACTCTGTGTAAATCAGAAACGACCTTAACCCAACTACCTACTAAGGTATGTTAGTATTTTATAATTTTCACAGTAAGTGTATGTCTTAATATGAAACATAGCTAATGTAACGTTAGTAAAACTTTGGTTGCTTGTCCTTTCGTGTTTTCTCAACCCTTCATGAACCCTAGAGTATGAAAAAATAGGTCGCCCATTTTCGTCTGCCTATCGTCTGTCGTTTGTTGGCGATTTTATTAGAAGATAATCGTCGAATTGTTGGAGTGATTGTCGTAAAATTTCACTGTATTTTAAGAATATCGTGTAAATGGAAAAACGCTACCAAAATTTGTCTGATCATCATCACCAACAATTTGATGACATCACTTCTAAAGTTTGCATAGTAAATGCCATTCAAATTTTATAAAATAACATACTTCTACATCTGTAGTTTTTGAATTAGCCTTGATTTTTTACCTTAGCCGTCTAGATTTAAGAAAAGACAAAATTGTTTAATAACGTTTTACAATTTAAATTAGCAACTGCAAAACCTAAAGCTCTGAAACCTTATAAACATTATGTAAAGATTATCATAAGTATGGTAAGTCCCCAAACAAAGTTTATGTGTTTATCTCCCCCCAAAACTGGATCGCATCATTTCAAAATTTTGCTAAATCTGTCTAAAATTGGGAGAAAAACACTCCCATTATCATTATTAGTACTACACTGTACATATCGAAATAATGTGTCAATGTTAAAAAGTTGATGATGTTATCACAAAACTTTGATATCAAAAGTTCACTCACAGTTTATAAGAAACTGGATTTGTTTGGCTGTGGTTCAAGGGAGAGACCAATTTTTGACTTCTAATGTAAATCAAATGAAGAAATTAATGCAGACCGATTCAAGATATCATGTAACACGTAGAATGTGACAACTCTGGGTAATCAAATTATTACAGTTATTACGTAACTATCTTCTCGATAAAAATTCCAAAAGTCATTATTTTAAGTAAACAGAGACAACAATTATTAGAATCTGCAAATAAGATTTTGCAGTCGGCGCCCAAATGCTCACATAAAGTGCAGTTATGTAGCAGTTCGTATTTGTTTTATAATATTGATGAATTTGAGGCCAAGCTAAAAGGACAAAGAGGATATAACAAAAAGTACATCAGGTCGTAATAATAAATGTTTCATTGTCAACAACTACTGATGACCACGTCATTTCATTGTGTGCAGCTTTAAACTACAATGATTTATGTTCTATCTGTTTATTCACTATCACTAGGTTATATCTTCATAAGTTATTACCTGCCAACTCCTCATGAAGGTTTTTTTCATTAATGTTTCGAGAGATTATTATAAAATATGTAAATCCATTTACGCATGCAGTTAATAGAGCGTGGATCTAGAAAGATTTAATTTCGACACTTTAAAATATTGCAACCGAGATCTCAACGTGTCAGAATAAAATATATACAACTTGAAAGAAAGTTCTAAAAGTGTTTTTATCAATGTAACTAATCATTTAAGTAACGTAGTAATAAAAATAGGCAGGGTCTTTTGTAAAAGTGCAGTACACGTATAAATACAAACACTCAGTTTGGTGTGCCGATAAGATAAACGAGATTGATATATGTCAGATTAAGCCAGCGGAGAAATTATTTCATTGATTAAGTAATTGCAGTAATCATAAATCAGCTTTAAGATCGATATGGTTTTTGGATTAGGTTCAAAAAGCAAACCAGTATTTATACTGGAAAACGACACTTCAAAAAAATCCCGATAAGAAAGTTAATAACAAAACTGGCACATTAATAGCTGGTATCCATTATTTATAACGAAGTGCATTGGACAAATCAGTAAATTAATTTTTTATCGTCAGATCTAGAAATGCCAGAGTGTAATAACCTATAATTTGATCTTGAATAAAATTGATACAGTGATATTTTAGGTCCCTTTTCCAAAACACGAAGTGAATGTTATGAGGTAACATAATTTACCTTCAAACATCCGAAAATGATTTAGTCGCTGA